CACCGATCCTCACTGCACACTGGTCCTGAACACACTGCCACACTGCACACTGGTCATGAACACACTGCACACCAATCCTCACTGCACACTGGTCCTGAACACACTGCACACTGGTTCCTGAACACACTACACACTGATCCTGCACACTGCACACTGGTCCTCACTTCATACTGCACACTGGTCCTGAACACACTGCACACCGATCCTCACTTCACACTGAAGACTAGTCCTGAACACACTGCACACTGGTTCTCACTTCACCCTGTACTTCAATGACTTTTGTGTATGAAGTGCAGTGTGTGAGGTTCAGCTAACAGTGTATTGCACCCTTCTCTGTGATGTCTGCCATCTCCTCTTGGAGGCGCTATGCTGCTCCCTAATTGATCCATCGGGGGCCCATGACTGCAATCACGCACCAACACTCTTCCACTCAGCTCCTCCTCCATCCTTCAGCCCTAATTAGCCCTCTCATTAAAGTGTCACAACCGGGGTGAGAGAGAGTCCCATTACTGTCATAAAGCACCAAACGCCTGCCCACACTGCACTCTCCCCAGTGCTTATTTCTGTATGACCGATCTGCCGCTCTCTCCAATATGACTGCTTCCTCCTCCTACCCGTCATATCCCATAACGAATCCCCAGAAGTACCGTAAGGACCTAAAGGAAGCCAGAGCACAATGAGAATAGGAATAATAACAGTGATGACAGCGATAGAGATGATAGTCATCATTAGTGTGTCTTCTCGTTCCTGTTCTTCCAGCTGCAGTTAAACACAGCTGGGATAGCATTCTCTTCCCACTCTCCCCCCTCTCTCCCGCTCGCTGCCTCCCCATCCGCAGTGTCCTCTTGTCCGTCTCCTCCGTCTCCTTCCTGCCTGCTCCGTGTATCCCCGTCTGTTCCCTCCCTCTTCCCTTACCTCGCTCCCTTCCTCCCTCTCCCCCCCGCCTCCCTCTTCTCTCATGGCTACAGGGTCTGCAAACAGTAATCAATTAGATTCCGCCACAGCAGGCTGGTAATGATGTTACCTAAGTGGCAGTTAGTGTAAAGGCTGTCTGGGGGTCTGCATAGCTCAGCCCCACCGGTCTCCTCAATAAACACCGTCATTTCTCTTCCGCAGTTGTTAGCTGCAGCTGAGCACTGTTGCGCCAGTCCGCCTCTCTCTCCCCCGCAGAACAGCCTCCCCCGCGCCGTGTCCACGAGCAGTGGACATCAGCCGTCCTCAGGAGCAGAACTTGACCTGAGCCGACGCCACTGCCCCTGTCAGCCCTGGCATCATGGGAAATGGATACTGGCCCAGCTACGTCTGGGCAAGGCTGGGTGGCTGAGTTAGCCAGGGACGAGGGCCTGTAGTTAAGAGCTCACCAGCTCCGAGTCCAGCTGCAGCTGCCTCCTTTCTGACACCCTAACGAACTAACCAAGCTAGACAAAAGACACAATTGCTTCCGGTAAATTGTATAGTAACTCAGAACCCCTAACTTCTGCCAAGGCTAAGATACCGTGCTGCCTTCTTAAGAAGCAAGGTCTTCTTTGAGGTGAAACGTTGCATGATGGTTTGGGGGAGCTGGAAATGAGTAAATCTCACGTCAGAGACACATCCATTCTACAGAGGCGAAACAGTGGGTATCTATGGCAGTGCTGCGGCAGAGATGTGCGTTCTGCTGTGCTGCAAGAAACACAGGGAGATTAAACCAACATGCTTCCCTAAAGCAGCACCTCGAATTCCTTTCTTCCCAAGATGCCAATTTGGCTGCACAGTCCCATAATGCTCTTCTTCACCCTGGCCCTTTTCTCCATCGCTTCTCGTTCTTTCCCACTTGTTACTTTTCCCAACTTCGTGTTCAGCTGTCCATCGGACACACGTCTTTGGCTTTTTAAACCTCTTGCCATAGACAGGTGTGGAACAGTGGGTCTTAAACAGAAGTTCAGAAGGAGGTCAGACCCTAATCTCACCCATTTCCTCCCCCCACATATACAGTAAATCCCCCGTTTCTTTCAGACTTGCATTTGTGTTTAGTTTTTGCTCCCCTCCCCCCACCGCTGGGGGTACCCACACCCCCAGTGTCCCAGATGTCCTGTCTTCCTTCGCAGCCAGGCGAGTTACCCCAGTCCAGCTCACGACTCGAATCGCGCCTCTTCTCCGCCCGAGGTGCCGAACTAACGTTCCTCTCCCTCCTCCCCTGCCCGTGGCAGTGCCCAGCCAGCCCCCGGAGAACGTGCGCGTGATGTCCATCACCTCCGACGTGGCCGTGCTGTCGTGGTCCGAGCCCCCCCGCATCACGCTGAACGGCGTGCTGAAAGGGTACCGCATCATCTACTGGTCGATCTTCCCGGACGGAGGTGGGTGCCCTTGACTTCAGCCTGTTCCTGTGTGTGACTGTGTGGGGTGGGGGTCTGCCAGGGTCTTATTAGTAGTAATAATAATAAAAAAAACTTTATTTTATATGGCGCCTAAAGGTGGCTTCTCAAAGCGCTTTACAGAATGACAGCAACAATAAATAACAAGAATACACAATTACAATACACGGAGAAGACCGTGGATGGTGGCACTAAGTATAGTAATAGCAGAGGGGTAAAGAATGGAACCAGTTCAGTAAAGGCTCTTCTGAAGAAGAGGGTTTTGAGTCTGGATTTGAAGGAGTTTAGAAAAGATGACGTTCTGATGTCCTTGGGGAGAGAGTTCCAGAGCTTTGGTGCTCAGCAGGAGAAGGCCCTGTCACCCATACAATGTAGACGGGCTTGGGGGACAGTTAGGATACCAGAATTAGAAGAGCGAAGGTTGCGAGGTGGGGAGTAGGGTGATAATAGTACTGAGGTACTGAGGTGCTAAGCCATGCAGACAGAGCCTTATAGGTGAGCATGAGGATTTTAAAGTCCACACGGAAGCCAGTGCAAGGACTCCAGGACAGGAGTAATGTGACCACTTCCACTAGACCTGGTCCGGATTCTTGCTGTCGAATTTTGGACATACTGTACTGCAGTTCAATGTAGATTTACCGTGTAGATTATAGTAGTATAGTTTAGATTATAGTATGTAGTGTAGTATAGATTGTAGTAGTAGCCTTACCATGTCTCAGTCTGAGACGGTATGATCCCATGTCTGGTGTGTCAGTATTGTGCAGTAACTGAAGGAGTTGCCAAGACGAGAGTGTCCCGTTCTCGTTTCTTTAACTTATCTTATGCTGCTTTTATGTTTCCATCTGGGGGTAGTGCCTGTCTCAGCATGGCTGACCTACCCTAGTGTCAGCTTGTTTGGGATTCACTGTGCAGTACTGCTGTTTCTCTGCCTCTTAGCTGCATCTGTGTCCGATCCGCCACGTAGACGTCTGTGTGCTTAAAAGCATCCAGAGCTCTGTGTGTGTGGACAAGTTCTTCAGTGTGCGTTTTTTAAGACTCGGGACCAAGCGCGTGTGACAGATCCATACTGTCCGCACCTGCAGGCGATCTCTTTCTCTTCATGTCTCTCTCACTCCCATAGAGTGGGGAGAGATGCAGAACATCACAACAACACGAGAGAGGGTGGAGCTGAAGGGGCTGGAGAAATTCACCAACTACAGCGTGCAGGTGCTGGCATACACGCAGGCCGGCGACGGGGTCAGGAGCCGCATGCTGAACGTCCAGACCAAGGAGGACAGTGAGTACACGCTCGTGCTTTCAGAAAAATCACTTGTCAATATAGCGCCTTCCAAACCCAATGACACTGTACAAATGGTAAATGGAGA